ATTTATAACAACCCAAAAGCGGCTTGTCAACGATGTACAACTGAGTTGGGTATGTTAAAACGTAAAATTGAAGGTCGGTTTTGCGAAAAAAAAGTAAGCGCCGGTCGATCAGTTGAACAATTTATAGCCGAATTGGATATTATATTAGAAAATCTAGATGATACATCTATTAGTAAAACAAATGGAAAACATAAACAACTACGTGAAATAATTTCATGTGATAATTTATTAGAAACAATTCAATTGAATCAATACCAAATTACTAAATGTCCTGTTATAACTGAAAAAAAGAAGAATTATGATAGACTTGTCAAACGACTGAAACATAAGCTTCGTTCGACTTGTATAGTTCTTAAAAAAAAAACAGACAAATCTAAAGTTTTTCATTGGGGTAAATTACAAGATTATCACAGAAAATCCGATGAATATATGGAAAAAACTGAAGCATATGAATGTTTGCACCAAAATACTCCATTACCAAATTTAATTGAACGTACCAATAAATATTTATTAAATTTAAGATTAATTAAATGGATTACACAGAAACAATATGAACAACTTAGCATTAAACCAAACGAAGTGGAATTAGCTCATCTTTATTATTTACCAAAAGCTCATAAACCTGGCGCTCCACTCCGTCCAATTATTTCTGGTCTCAATCATCCAACTATAAAAATATCAAAGTTTCTCGATGAATTACTTCGACCACTATTTAATAAAATAACATCCAATACAACTGCTACTTCTGGAACTGAACTTATTAAACAGTTACATCAATGGTCAACATGTAATCGACGTCAAGAAACTTTATTATGTACAATGGATGTTTTAAATTTTTATACGATGATACCACAAACAGACGGGATTTTTTCAATTAAAAAAATGTTAGATCCCTTACACATAAAACAAATTAATGGTCTAAAAATTGAAACTATTATTCGTTCATGTCGATTCGTGGTACATAATAATTATTTTTCTTACAATGGTAAATATTATCATCAAGTACGTGGTGGTGCTATGGGTTCTCCGTTAACATTGACAATTGCTAATTGTTATATGTTCTTTTTTGAACAAGATATCGTGAAGCAAATCAATAATAGTGGTGGACTCTATGTGCTAGATATTGATGATATATTTATTACCATCAACTGGCCTACTCAACATCTATTTAAATAAATTGATCGATGGAATAAATTTGACTTAAATATCAAATTAAAAGCTGAAGTTAGTCATTCGATAAATTTTCTTGATTTATACACAGAAAATAAAAATGGTGAACTATTCACAAAAGTTTATCACAAACCATCTTATGAACCATATTATTTACAATTTATAGTGTTCATCCTATGCATATGAAAAAGAATATTCCATTTGCTATGTTAATTCGTACTATTATATATTGTTCAACATTCGAAGCATATTTATATGAACGTAAAAAATTAAGAATGGCTTTATTGTTAAATAAATATCCTGGTGAATTTATAGAGAAACAATTCAGTCGTGTATTTCAAAAACATAATTTCATTCAGCCATTATCGACAAAACAATTATAAAACATTACGTGAGAAAATAATTTATATAGATAAAAAAGAAAAAATTCCAATTGATTATGGTAAAACAATGTTCATTCATTTTATCTATTGTTTAAATATGAAAACGTTTCCGGAAAAATTTCATGATCTTTGGGACAAATATTTTATGGGATCTCTAATAGATGAAATAAAACCGGTCTTAGGTACTCGTAATGTCAAAAATTTACAACAATAGCTAATACGTAATAAATAATATTCATTCAATCTGATTTTGTTCAAAATTAAAATTAAAATAGATTGGTTATATATTTAACTTATTAAGATAAAAATAAAAATGTGCAACTTATTATGATGAATTATATCTGTTATAATGTAATATATTTTAATTTAATTAAAATAAATTAATTTCATTAATTTTACAAAAACCTTTAGATAGAACTATATTTGTCACAATATAATTAATTTAATCAAAATAAATTCGTTACGTCATTTTACGAAAATGTTTTTATGGAGTTTAGGTATAAACGAATTTATAAATATAAAAATTAAAATGTATGGCTTATAGTGAAAAATTATCATACAAAAAACTTTCTAAAACTTATGTAGAAACAAAATTATACAAATACAAATTAAAATGTAGCAAATAAAATTTAAAATGTATCACTTATGATGAACGTAATCAACCATCTTTGTACAAGTAAACTATGTAAAATAAGAACCTAGTTAATATTACATAAATGATTATAGTTTTTCAATGTCGTATTATTTTAATTATTCAAAGAATTGTATTATTTGTTGTTTTTTTCTTCTTTTTTTCTTTTCTCTCCTTCTTATCTTTTATTGTATTTAGTCTTGTATGTTTTATTCATTTTTACATTAGTATTTGTATTTTTCTTTTTTTTTTTTTTTATCTTGCGCGTGAACATCTAATGCAGAGCCCTGAAGAGTGTTTTAATATTTCAATAAAGAACATGAAAACGCGTTGGCAAATTAAAACCTGCATTTCTTAAAATTACTTTTTTTTCTGGCACAAGTCACAATAAATTATTATTTAAAAATTCATCTATATCTCGACAAAATAATGGGTTGCTGAAAAGCAAACATCGAGTGCAAGCAGATTGTATTTGTCTTTTCTTCAAGATAGATAGGTCAGTCTGTTTTTTGATTGATTTAATTGTTACCTCAGACAGTTTTCGACGACGTTACGTTTAACTAGCTTATTAAAATTAGAAAAAAAAGATTTTCCTTGAAAGTGTTAGAAACTCCACGGATTCACTCATCAACGTTTTCTTATATTTGAAATAAAATCAGCTTGAATTTCTCTAGTATAATTGAGTTTTAAAATTAAAAACGTATTTTTTATTATACTACTTGACGAATTCAATACGAATAAATTGAAAAACACACTACAATGAGGCTTTCAATTCAGCGCTCCGAGCATACACTAAACATTCATTAAAAATATAATATGTCAGTCTCTGCTAATAAACGGAAGAGCAGACTCTATTTCATATCTGCTAGTTGAGTAGTGACAAATTTTATGTGATCTGAAGGCATCTAATTATTTTTCCTTAATATGAGAATATATTTTGGGCATTGCTATGTCATTAAAAAAATATGTTCTAATTCCTAAGTATCTAGTTTCAATGTCTTTGACTTCTGTTCCAAAAATTCTTAAAAGAGTCATTTTAATTAATTTTTTCAACGACTTTTGATTTTTTCATTACGGTAACTTAAATCAATGACATTTAATTTGTTTAAAACTTTCCAATAAGTAGTCAAAGATATTGGAATTTTATGCTTTAAAAATAGTAACAAATTTTCTGTTTAATGGTTTTAGATTTGTTTGCACGCTTACTCGACAAGTTTTTGTAATTAAAATAGAATATTTACCAAGCATTGGAAATTTACAGAAGGATGAAACTTAAAAATACTGCTTAAGATTAGCAGTTCTGACCTCCATTCCAAAAGGAATTTTCCTTCACTTACAGTTACTCTAATAATGATAAGGTTACGATCGTCGAGAATTTTCATTACTGGTTTACAAAAACTAGATTTTGTATGCTCCTAGGAAAACGATATGAAGTCAAGTTTAGTGGCTACGAAGACTGAGTAAGCATTCAATTGTCTTGTTAGTCCACTCATCAACGCGTTTGATATGCTTTGGAGAAGAGCAAGAAAGGATAAAGCAATGATCTTCGTGTTATAATCCGCATCGTCTTCAGATGCAATCATAAGAATTTTTCTCTCTCTATCTATAGGATTGCACATATGAACTCATGTTCTTCTTTTCTCTTATTGTTACTCATGCACCATGGACTTTTCCTTTCCTTCCATATACGTTGGAATTTTCCTTTCCGTTCTATTCTAATTTTCTTTCGCGTTGTTCTATGGATGTTTTCTTCCTTTGTTCATCGTTTATGGAATTTTTCATCAGGGATTTTCCAACGCTTGTTATCACTCTATATATTAGCGTTACTTTGTTGCGGATCAGATTGAGGTTGGATGATAATTGGGATTTAGATACACTTATACAAATAAAGTATAAGCGGGATTGAGATCTCACAGTCGTAACATGTAAGAGGGATGAAATTAATGTAATTATTTTATTTTTTTTTTTTGGGGGGGGGGGGGATCAAAGTAAAAGCATGCAAATCATACAAAAATGTTGAAATCAATGTAACGATTTTGATTTTTGTGAGCTTATCAAAGTCATGTGCTTGTTTGTGATAAAAAGTTCGAAAGTCAGTTAAATGAATTGTTTCTGATTTTTAAGTCTCTAGAGAATTGTCGCAGCAAGTGTCAGAGTCAAATAAATATTTAAGATAATTTATTGTAAATGCAGGATGCGATTTTGTGGGCTGCAATTTGTGAATGACGTTGGTCGAATGGCCAATGAATGCCCAGGTATATTCTAGCAAAGTAGGTCTCCATTTCTGCTTGCTTAAACGATTGGTAGTATCGTGTTATTGCCGGTCGTACTGTGCCTGTAATTGAATCATTTGTTTTTCCATTGTATTCATCTGATTGAAGTGCAAATAATATCTTATCTCTTCTATAGAAGCGACGAAGGATTTCGAAAGTACCCGATGCTGATGATACATGGCCTGATGTATACGAAGGATGAGCTGGAGTGAAATTATCACCATTACCATCTGCAGGCGCTCCCAATGGTGTCCAATTGGAATCTGCCGGAGTGCGCGGTGCTCCCTTACGAATAGCAACTATAGGACGCCAGAAAGCGTAGTGATATTTCGTATTGAATGTACTGATACGTGTATCTGCTAATACATAGTTGATCAATGCAAATAAGTGTGCATTTTCTACTAATGTATTTTTCATCTGGATAGCAATCACTCGGACCACTTGATTGAGGAGACGTGGAGCAGGTCCAATTTTTGGCCCACCATCATAGCCCCAAAAGTTAGCGATTTGTGTTTGCTCAGCAGTTCGAGTTGTACTTAACCTTGATCCAATCGATTTCAATAGTTCATAAGCATTGATATATTCGGTTGAATTTAAAAATTCTAGACGCGAAGAAGGCGACTCACCGACAATGTTCGCAGCACGAAATGGTAATACAGAACGTAAGATAAATGGCTTAACACTACCCCATTGAGGATTGTTAAATCCCTGTGTTGGACGAGTCGGGTCTTCTATATGATAACCCAGTTCTTTATTTGGTATGTAAGCTACAGTTACGTTACTACCATCGTTTGCTCTTTCCTTCAGAATTGTGCTTGCTATCATCTGTCCAATGGCAATGCCTATATTAATTGTATTAGTTTTTCGGGTAATTTCTTGAATTCCATTCAAATAGGCTGTACGGATCGCATCGAACATCGTCCTCTGTTTCGGATACAAAGCATACAATGTTTGATACGCGGCTTCCATAATAGCTACTATCATAGTTGGCTCTTTCGGACCATGTTTCGCCTTCGGTAGATTCTCAATTATGAATACTGGTTTATAACGCTGATTAAAGACAACCATTGCCTCATATATGGCGCCATGAAAAATCGCTAGAGCGCGTGATACAAATTGGGCACCGGCTTGATCCAAACGCGAAGTTATCTCAGGATCGTAATCATTAGCAATAGCCTGTATAATAACATCATTCCAATCGAGAACTGGATCCATTTGTGTCGATTGGAACTTTTTGAGAAGCATATCGGTAGTAGATTGTAAGGTATCACCCTGAACAATGGCTTGGTTCATTGTTAGTAAGTGCAGAAGCACGATCATAATTAGTTTTTCGACGAGATCCATCCTATATCACAAGTTATAACACGCAGTGAATACTAATTTTCATTGTCTATACAGGGTGTCTCATAAATAACTTGGCGATAAGGCATTTAAATATTCCTAATGTGTTACAGTCTGAAGAACGCATTTTTTCTCCGATGATTGAGCGGTTCCTGAAACTTTTGTGGTTATTAATGAACCTCACAAATAATGTACAAACGTATCATGTCTGACCAAGATGCAATGATTTCAGTTTTCTTCTTTTTTCTAAAAAAGTTTGTATTAAAATATTTCTAGTATTTGAGATTTTGGTAGGTTTTTCATTATTGACATCATGTACTGCTGTTTCATTGGTTTTTTTCCAGTTAGTTTACTGAGGCTAACATTAGTCAACTTTTC